CTGAATGAGGAAAGTCAATGGGGAAGCCGGATTCACTTAACAACCATGTTACTAATTTAACAACTGCAGTGATTCACTTAACGTCTGTGGCAAGAAAGGTCATACAGTGGGGCAAAACTCACTTAACTGATGTCTCGCTTAGCAACAGAAATTTTGGGCTAAATTGTGTTTGTAAGTCAAGGACTACCTGTATTTGGCATTTCTGGACTGCCTCTCTCCCTCAGATGGGGACTCTGGGCAGTGTGCAGTACAGTATCAAAATATAAAATGGCATATGAGCATTCAAAAAGTTTAATTTTTAAAAGATTGTAAAATTATTAGAAATCAACATCCTAACACCAAGCTTTGAGGAGCCTTGCAGTGACTTTCCATGGTTCTGTTGATTGGGGCTGATAGGAACACATGTTCTTACATCCCTGAAAAATTTCTTATGTTCCCTTTTGGTCACCATGATTAAAAAAAGATGTTGAGACTCTAGAAAGAGTGCAGAGAAGAGCAACAAAGATGATTGGGGACTGGAGGCTAGAGCATATGAAGAACCATTGCAGACATTGAATATGTCTAGTCTAATGAAAAGAAGGACTGAGGCTGACACGATAGCAGTGTTCCAATATTTGAGGAGTTGCCACAGAGAGGAGAGGGTTGGCCTGCTTGGTGCCTAATGTTGGTTATTAAAATTAAGTTGTCCTAAAGAATTAGGAACAGAAAAACTCTTGTGTTTTATAATTCCTGCTATTGATATTATTGTATTTCTTCTAGTACTAAAGAAATGGATTTATTGCTTCGATGTTTGATTTCTTACTGACTCTACCTTGCTTTCTTTATGCTTCCCACTCATCAGGATTTGGTGGGCTTGAAGCAGCAAATTCCACTGCCACTGGGTTTAATTTTGGGGGTTTTGGATTAACTGCTAATCCTGCAGTGAACTTTAATATTGGGAATTTTGGTGTCTCTACTACTTCGGCGCCACCATTTAATTTTGGTAACAGTCTGGCCAGCGCAGGTAGAGAATATTAATGTGATGCTCATAATTATTTTGTTTTTGGAGGGATCCAAGAATTCAGTTTATACTTGCCAGTTTTTTAAAGTTCATCCATGAACGAGTTGCATTAAAATCTGTAAAAAGTCCTTCAAACCAAGATTTGACAAAA